ACCTCCCACTTTGGCAGCCATTCAAGTGCACGCCTCCCTTTAAGGCTATTTAAGTATCTTTTACTCAGGCTCTCTGGGTCGAAGGTTAGCTGGGCACGTTGATTCTACCTGGTGGTGGTGGTGATAGTGGTAGTGGTGATGGTTGTAGTTGTGACTGCAATGATGGTGGTGGTGGTAGTAGTGATGGTGGTATCATTGCTGGTGTTATTGACGGTGGTAAAGGTGACAGTGGAACATGCCTGCCTCTGCTACCACCTGCAGGGAGGGTTCTAGGCACAACACCATCACGGTTGTAAACTGAAAATCTTGTTCCTCGTCACCAGTCTTGGGATTCGGTAAAACATATGTAAAATGCGCAAGTTCTCACTGAATAAAGACATGTAGGGCACATATATTCGTAATCTGTCCGACCATAACTCTTGCCTAGTGTCTTCTTGACACCTAAATGTCCTCTCATAGGACCGTTATGTGCCAGGTTCAACACCTGAGAACGAAAGAACTGTGGCAGTACCATTCTGCAATGCACATATTCCGTCCTGCCATCAAGTGTACAATGAGGAGTGTGTTTTTAATAATTCACTATCTTAACAATAGTAGCAAGTAGCAGTGTGCTTGGTAGCATCCTCTGTCATAGCATTGTTCCTCTTTTATGCCTTTGATGAGTTTCGAGAGTCTTTCTACTCCCGGAGCCCGGTCATGGGCCAGGCTCGCCTGGTGCTAGCCTGCTCAATCAGGCTGTTGCTGCTGGAGGCCCGTCGCTCCACATATCCACCACAGCCTGGTTGATCTGGCACCTACCTGCCTGGAGTCTACCTGGAGGGCATTCCGGGGATAACGTCCCCGCGGCCCGGTCCACGGCTAGGCCTTCCGGTGGATCAGGGCCTAATCCACCGGATCCAACGTAGTCCAACGCCGGCTGATCCGGCACCGACTTTAAGTATCTGTCCAGTTCCCTCTTGAAGGCAGCCAGGGGCCTATTGGTGATTCCCCTTATGCATGGTGGGAGGCTGTTGAACAGTCTTGGTCTCCGGACGCTTATGGTGTTTTCTCTTAGTGTACCAATGGCGCCCCAACTTTTCATTGGGGGTATTTTGCATCACCTGCCCAGTCTTTTACTTTCGTAGGGAGTGATTTCCGTGTGCAGATTCGGGACCATTCCTTCTAAGATTTTCCTTGTTCCAGCAGTGTTTCTGATATCTTCTGGTAAGACACTGAATAATCTGGAACCACGAATGTTGATACAGTGTTCCCTTATTATGCCCACCGCTGCCCTGCTCTTCACAGGGTTTATCTTGGACTTCCATGTCTCTCGCTCCAGTATGTTGTAGTGATACATCTCTTGATAGATCATGTATCATGTTAGTATCTTACGTAAGCTGTACTGTCTCATTTTTCTTTGTGTTTCGTGAAAACGAGTTCCCACTTTGTGGTTCATGGAGTGTAAAATCGCTAAATAAGAAGCCAAGTCCCAAGTCTTGACCTTTCGTAGAAGGTAATGGAGGTAGTGTAGCTTCATGTATCTTCATAGCTTTTGTGACATCACCATCTGAAAATGAATTTGGTAGTGATTTGTGAGTTTCCAAAAGATCCTTGTATGTAGTATATGGTTTATTAGAGATGGGTAACACATCTCTCAACAGTGAAACATGTGCTCCATCATCTTCATGATCGGACATTTATCTAAGTATCATTCACATAATAAGCGATTTTGACATTCTAAAAAAAGGTCTCATCTCTCTCTCTCTCTCTCTCTCTCTCTCTCTCTCTCTCTCTCTCTCTCTCTCTCTCTCTCTCTCTCTCTCTCTCTCTTTGTCGGGCGATAGGTACGTTGATTTTTCTAGTCATAAGATTCATGTGGTGGTGAAACCAGTTTGAGCCTTGTTCTGCGACACACAATGGCTGCTATAATTTACCTCCACTAAAATCTTCCGACGTCATTAAGAAACTATTAACAAAGAAGAACACGCAACACTAAATCCAAAGCTGGTATTTACACCTTCCCATGTGGGACATACGATAACTATAGGTGAGAGAAACTTTAAGAGCCTCAAACAACACATCAGTGTACATAAGCACAACGCTGCAGTTTACGCCGCAACGCGCACTTACAAAATCTCAGGCTTGTCAGGAAAGGGTTAAACCTGTGTCGTAGATGTTATTCAGAAACTGTTCTCATCGCTACTACCAAAACCAGCGCTCAAAACAGGCAGCTTTATGATCTGGGACATAATTTACCGAACACTTCCTAAGTAGAACATCCCTTCACATGCTTCGCCCTCCAGCCGTCGTAGCTACCTGTAGGTTACCTGTAGTCGCTTCTGGAGGTCATTACCCCGCGGCCCGGTCCCAGATTCGGCCTCCTGATTGGATCTATCAGGCTGATGGTGCCCACTGCCCTCAATCCAATGTATGCACCACAGCTCATCTGATCAGGAACTCATTTAAGGAACTAGTCAATTTCCCTTTTAAAAATAGGGAGGATCTGTAGGTAATATGCGTTATGCGTGAATATAAGGTGGTGAAGAGTCAGGGTTCCTCTACACTTTTTGAGTTCTCTCAGTGTACTCATCACTTCCTTACTTTTCACCGGAGGTATGTTGCACTGTCTGCCAAGCATCTTCCATTCATATCTAATGATTTCAGTGTATAGATTTGAGACCAATCCCTTCAGAATCTTCCAGTTGTAAATTATCAGGTATCTTTCTCACCTATGTTATTAAGACTGCAACGAATTATTCAAAAAAATTCTAAATATGATGTTCAATGAGGACAAATTCCAACTACTCCGTTATGGAAAACTGGAGGAGATAATAACTAGAACAGAGTATACTACTGACTCCGGCCATACAATAGAGCGGAAAAATAATGTAAGGGACCTGGGAGTAGTAATGTCTGAGGATCTCACTTTCAAGGATCACAACAGTGCCACGATCGCACGTGCAAAGAAAATGATAGGATGGATAATGAGAACTTTCAAAACGAGAGATGCCAAGCCCATGATGATCCTTTTCAAATCACTTGTTCTCTCTAGGCTGGAATACTGCTGTACATTAACATCTCCATTCAAAGCAGGTGAAATCGCAGATCTAGAGAGTGTACAGAGATCCTTTACTGCACGTATAAGTTCTGTCAAGCACCTTAACTACTGGGAACGCTTGGAAGCACTTGACTTGTACTCGTTGGAACGCAGGAGGGAGAGATATATCTAATCTACACTTGGAAAATCTTGGAAGGAATGGTCCCAAATCTGCACACAGAAATCACTCCCTACGAAAGTAAAAGACTGGGCAGGCGATGCAAAATGCCGCCAATAAAAAGTAGGGGCGCCATTGGTACACTAAGAGAAAACACCATAAGTGTCCGGGGCCCAAAACTGTTCAACAGCCTCCCATCAAGCATTAGGGGAATTGCCAATAAACCCCTGGCTGCCTTCAAGAGAGAGCTGGACAGATACCTAAAGTCAGTGCCGGATCAGCCGGGCTGTGGCTCGTACGTTGGACTGCGTGCGGCCAGCAGTAACAGCCTAGTTGATCAGGCCCTGATCCATCGGGAGGCCTGGTCATGGACCGGGCCGCGGGGGCGTTGATCCCCGGAATAACCTCCAGGTAACCTCCAGGTAAGAGACTTCAGGCGCATGGCTGAGTTTATACGAGCTGTGAAGGTTCTCTGTACGTCTTCCAGTTCCCAGGTATCATATGTCTTAAGTAACAGCCTGGTTGAACAAGCACTCAACAAGGAAGCTTGGTCAAAGGTCGGCCTCGTAGCGTAGAAAAAAACACGAGATTGGCCTCAGGTATGTCACAGTTATCAACACCCGTACCTTCCCTACCTCACCTCTTATACATGAATTAACCCCTCACTCTTTCCCTACTGACTGCCACGCATCCTGCCTTCCCGTTACCTCACCTGACTCAAGTATACATGAATATCCCACCCTCCGTCCCTCCCTGACCCACATACCCGTTACTCCTCTTTTCCCTCCCTCACCCCACAAGAGTCGCCTCTCCTTTCTCTGCTCTCTAGTTCACAAAGTTATTTATTTCTGCTCCCCGCCGTTTTGGGCCTAATATACACCAGTAGGCCATGTAATGTTGTTGATAATGGGCCAGAACGAACCGAAACGTCATTTAAAATTTACGCTTCAAATTACGTTAGTTGTGAATTGTTCCAGCCACGGTACTGTAGATTGTGAAATGTTCCAGCCATAGTATTGTGGGTCGTGAATTGTTCCGCTAACGGTATTATGGGCTATGAATTGTTCCAGCCATGGTATTGTGGGATGTGAATTATTTCAGTAATACCTGGAGGTTATTCCGGGGATCAACGCCCCCGCGGCCCGGTCCATGACCAGGCCTCCCGATGGATCAGGGCCTGAACAACTAGGCTGTTACTGCTGGCCGCACGCAGTCCAACGTACGAGCCACAGCCCGGCTGATCCGGCACTGACTTTAGGTATCTGTCCAGCTCTCTCTTGAAGGCAGCCAGGGGTTTATTGGCAATTTCCCTAATGCTTGATGGGAGGCTGTTGAACAGTCTTGGGCCCCGGACACTTATGGTGTTTTCCCTTAGTGTACCAATGGCGTCCCTACTTTTTATTGGGGGCATTTTGCATCGCCTGCCCAGTCTTTTACTTTCGTAGGGAGTGATTTCTGTGTGCAGATTTGGGACCATTCCTTCCAAGATTTTCCAAGTGTAGATTATGATATATCTCTCCCTCCTGCGTTCCAACAAGTACAAGTCAAGTGCTTCCAAGCGTTCCCAGTAGTTAAGGTGTTTGACAGAACTTATACGTGCAGTAAAGGATCTCTGTACACTCTCTAGATCTGCGATTTCACCTGCTTTGAATGGAGATGTTAATGTACAGCAGTATTCCAGCCTAGAGAGAACAAGTGATTTGAAAAGGATCATCATTGGCTTGGCATCTCTCGTTTTGAACGTTCTCATTATCCATCCTATCATTTTCTTTGCACTTGCGATCGTGGCACTGTTGTGATCCTTGAAAGTGAGATCTTCAGACATTACTACTCCCACGTCCCTTACATTATTTTTCCGCTCTATTGTATGGCCAGAGTCTGTAGTATACTCTGTTCTAGTTATTATCTCCTCCAGTTTTCCATAACGGAGTAGTTGGAATTTGTCCTCATTGAACATCACATTGTTTACCGTTGCCCACTGGAAAACTTTGTTTATATCTTGTGGAAATATAAACACATATGCAGTATAATGTGATCCTTTATTGACAACGTTTCACCCACACAGTGGGCTTTTTCAAGTCACACACAGATCTACCTGGGGTGGAAGGTACGGGAGTATTTATTGTCATGTTCAGAATGTTGAGGTCAGGTGGAGAATGCTGCATCTGATGATCTACCGGGTGGAGTTATAGAGTCTTGGGTAGCTTGGCAGGGGTATTGGACAAGTTGTGAGTAGACCTTCTGCAGTGTTCTATGTTCTTATGTGGGATAGCGATGAAGAAGTTTCTTGGCGAGTGGTTCAGCTATGTTATAGAAGCCGTTGTTGGTAGAAATTGTTGGTTATAGAGATAAGCGATGATTCCAGGATTCTTCGGTATTGAGTGTTGTCTTCTGTGGCGATAAGTCTTGAGTTTCTGTAGTTAATTAAATGGTTGTGTGAATTGCGATGTTGTACACAGGCATTCCTTGTATCGTCAGTCCTGCTTGCATATTGGTGTTCTGAAATACGTGTTTGGAGGTCTCTTGATGTTTCGCCCACATACAATTTGTTGCAGTCATTACAAGGGATTATGTATACCCCTGCAGAGGATGGAGGCTTGTCCTGTCTACTATTGGTGATGTCCTTGATGGTCGTGGTTGTGGAGGTAGATACTTGGAATGATGTATTGGAAAAGATGTTGGAAACATGTTTGGCAATGGAGTTGGTGGGGAGGACTATGTATCTCTTCTCGGCAGTGTCTTCTCTGGGTGTGTTGAAGATGTTTAATGCCCGCCGTCTGCAGTCTCCCGTACCTTCCACCCCAGGTAGATCTGTGTGTGACTTGAAAAAGCCCACTGTGTGGGTGAAACGTTGTCAATAAAGGATCACATTATACTGCATATGTGTTTATATTTCCACTGTGTCGGTATTTGATACCATTTATTTCCACTTTGTTTATATCTTCTTGGAGGTTAACCGCTTATTGTGGATTAGTTGTGAATTGTTTTATCCACGGTAGTGTTAGTTGCGAATTGTTCCAATAATGGTATTGTGGGATATCTGTGAATTATTACAGCCACGATATTGTGTTTTAGTTGTGAATTCTTTCAGCCTTGGTATTGTGTGTTTGATCCGCGGTATTGTTCATGTCAGCTGCGGTATTGTGGGTTAGTTGTGAACTGTTCCAGCCCACGGTATTGTGACTTATTCTTATGATTTTACTTCGATGTTTGTCCTCACCGTCCCGTTCACCTCTGCCTCGCTCTCCCCTTTTCCCCTCTACTCCGCTCTTTTTCCCCCCTCTTCCCGCTCCCTCAACCCCCATCCCCCCCCCCCCCCCCGCTAATGATTATGTAGGGTCGATGTCTGGTGGATGAGCGTGTAATGGTTTCGTCAGAGCATGTGGACGGTGCTCAGGCCACTGACTGCTTGTTGTTCCTCATCTTGACTCCCACATTACCTCACCCACTGCTTATGTAAGAGGCAAAAAGGAGAGCACGGCAGTAAGATACATATGTCGTACTGTCGACGTCCTGAAGGATACCTGGACGCTTATGGGTGAGGGCAGTGCCCAGGCGTCCTGGAAGATCAAGGCCTGATCAACCGGGCTGGTACTGCTGGCTGCACGCAGTCCAACGAACCACAGCCCGGCTGTCAAGTACTTGATTTGAGTGAAGGAAAGACGCGAGGTGCTGAATGTTGTTGTTTTATTTATTTAGACAACGTTTCGCTCTTGTATGTATTGTTCCTGGTTACATGAACCCCTTTGTTGTTAGGGACTAACTTTGTATTCTTGGCTGAACTGCTGCTGCTTGACTTCCATATTGAATGTACGCTGTAGTGGCTCCTTGTCTCGGCTACTTTACTACACAATACGGTCACCATGTGCAATATTTGATGGGATATTTCCACCATTGATGATGGATGGACACCTTGTATGATGACTCGATGCTGGGACCATTGTTGGTGGATGAACACTGTGTATGATGACTTGATGCGGGAACCATTGTTGGTGGATGCACACCTTGTATTGTGACTTGATGCTGGGACCATTGTTGTTGGATGGACACTCTGTATGACGGTATGTTTCCTATTGAAACAGCTTCCTCAGAGGGGTGTTAGTCGGGTGGTGACCCATTCAGTGGTTCATGACATATTCATGATGTACTGGTGTTTAAAGGTGCATCCCTCCTGTAAATTCTCCCATTATGGTGGACTGACGTTCCTATCACGAACTGCAAGTCTTGCCTATACCTCTCCGTGATGGTCTTTTCAGTAGAAACTACCATGGTTTATGGCATACCTTGAGCTGTGCTGACTGAACTTGGACCAGCCGTGATGTCAAGAGTTGCGTTGAATAAAGGAGAGTTACTGATAGTGGTGGAGCACCTTTGGGTGTGTAGGCGTGACCCAGCGGG